TCTCTTGAAGTAAACTTAGGATGGTAGTTCTGTTAACAAATGCATTGTCTGTCGTCGGTAATTGCTGAATTGCATCAGTTGTGAAGCGTTCATTTTCCACATGACCAGGACAACATCTATTTCCGGATGGAATTAATACATTGTGTTCAATAAAAACAGATGTGCGGCATTCTGGTGACACTACTATCAATTTGGGCCCTGGTTTCTTACAAACGATACAATAGGCATGAGTCTTTGCAGTGGATTTTAAGTGCAAGGATACAGATGGTGGACTGGAGAGATGTTTTCTGTTGTCATTTGTTTCGGACGCTGAACATTCCCTGTGAATTGTGGTAGAGCAGGGTGTTGCAGATGATTTACGGCATGAAACATCTCTGTAATAATTGCTTCTACATTTGCTGCAGATGACAGAATTTTCCCTTCCTTCCACCATAAACCTTTTTCTTAAATATTTTCTTATGCCTTTGTCAAGATGCCTCCTTTCATTGGGTTTTGTTCTTTTAGAGCACAGTACACAGTTGAAGTATTCTGTTTTGTGTCCTGGCATTATCTGAAATTAAATACAAGGACATTTACATTTTATAAATTATTATCCAGGCTAATTATGAAAAATAATTCGTTTTACCTTTCCAACTGAATAAAATGAATTTTTTTTTATTTTACTGCCATAATTATACCCCCGCTTGAAAAATGGGAGGGTATAATAGTAATCGGTATATCCATCCGTCCGTCTGTCTAGCTGTCTGTCTGTCCGTCTGTTATGCTTTGGGGTATCCATCTCTTATCCACAACTAGCTCCTCTCATACCACTGAAGGAAATTTAATGAAACTTTCACAGAATCTTTATTACATATTGCCATTGTGCACCTCCTATTTTACTTTTTGATCTGACATATATTTTTGATTTTCCAGAGCAAAACATGGACACTGCCATTATATTCATATGGGAGGCGGGGGGTATTATTTAGTGAGCTCATTGCTCACAGTACCTCTAGTTTATTTTAAACTACAGCCAAAATGGCTGATTAAAATCTTTTGAAAATATCCTCTCCATCTCATCCAGATTAGAATTACAATAAAAATTTCATCCCATGTATGCTCAGATTCATGGACTTACATATTGTTAAAACTTTGCCTGAGGAAGGACATGAATTTTTACATCATTATACAAAAATTGTCTTCTTCCTCTGGGAATACTTTAAAGATATTTAATTGAGTTTAACCACCTCAAATACTGTTGCTTTATTTTTGTTTTATAAATCCTTTAAAACTATTAAGTTCTTACTGTGGTTTTCTACAACATATACTTCTTTTCATTATATTTTAAATATGCACACGCCTTGAGATCCACACCCCCATTTCAGCAATTTATATTTAATTTATGAACAACAATAAAAAAGTTGCAGAATTACAATAATAAAATTGATTTTAGCTCTTCATTACTTTAAAATATTTACTGCTATTTATATTCTAATGAATTTGCTCAAATATGCTATTATTTGCATTGTTGTTTATATTATTTTAAGAAAAAATCATTATTAATGAAAAATCATTAAAAATATTATTTAAATAGAACGTGAATTTTTCAAAGAGAGGTAACTCATGAAAACAAAAACAAAACACCCCCCCTGATGTTGAATATCTGTGTTAATGTGTCTATTTTTTGTAAATTATGACTATTAAAATATAAATTAATATTTTTACATTGATATATTGTCTTGTAAACATTGGTAAATATGTGCTGTACTTTTATTTAAAAAAAAAGAAGAAGAGGGGATTCAGACTGACATGTTCCAGTGTTATCATTGCTTATCATATTGGTGTGAAATTTAAAAATGAACTTTCAAGATACTCATATGCCTAACGTTACATACAGATTGAATAAAATCTTAATTTAGACTTATGCCGATCTTTTTTGCATCTCAATCACACGTACTACAATAAACTTCGATATAGATATGCATTATTGCATACCTGACAGTAGGCCCCTAGTCCGAAAAATCTGACGTTTTCCTGGCTTTTTTACGATCTTGATAGTTTACATACCAGGAATAGTCCGATTTCTTGGCTTTTTTTACGATCTTGATAGTTTACATGCCAGGAAAGTAAAATATCAAAAAACGTCAGATTTTTCGGACTAATCTGACAGTAGATCACACTGCAGACGACATATGGGTCAAGCGAGCGGTCCATGTATTATCAGCTCAGAATCATCCTATTATATTGATGCATGTGTATTTTAAAGCTTACTTTACTTTTTTGTTTAGAAGAATATAAGAGATACTCACCACAACAAAGTCATGTAAACTTCTCTATCTTCAGTCGATTGTAACCTGCATTCCGGATAGTAAGTTATTTTATCACATCGGGATCGGAAATTCCCCTTTTTTACAGACGCAAGTTTTATATCGAGTGGATTTTATATCCTTTAAAATTTATTTACGGCCTCAATAAATTATTAAAAAATAAATCATTTAATTTGACTAATTAAGTTTAACCTCTATTTCTACTAGGCCGTACTGAGAGAAAAAAAATCCGGAAATGTTCTTTTACACAAGTCAGGCATCAAAGTACTGAAAAGTATCATTTAAGTAGGGCGCCACACGTGAACCATCAAAAACCAAATGAATTATGGAATAACATGTATCATTTTAACTGTGTTTAAAATTTCATCATGGTTCAAGGTTGGCGCCTACAAAAAATCGCTGTAAAAAGGTCTAAATTTCTTTGAAACTTGGTATTTTTGCATTACCGCATCCGGTTTTGATGTTTATAATGAACCACGCGCTGTTTCCTTACCAAAAATCAAGACGGCGACCAAAGGTTTAACACCTAATAAATATTTGGCCAAAGTTTCGCTGCTTAATAATGAAGTTTGGTTTTCAGGAATTGACAGGGCCAAATCATGCAGATTTTGGCGTTAGTTCTTTAAGAATACAGTTGCTGTTGCTTATTCTTCGTACATTTTTTAATCATTCCGTAAGCTGCACCCTTTTAATTCTACCCCAAGGCGGGGCCCTTGCTGACTGGTCAGTTTTCTAGTTGATCATGACGATTATATTGTCCGGGGAAGTAGAAACAAGCTTATACTCTTCTTTTCTTGTTAATGAATTTAACTTGAAGAAACTACTTACTTGAGGATTCATGGTGTCTACTGCCGCGCTAAACCCAAAGATCCTCTCTTCGCCCATAACCGACACCACCTCTTCCTCCATTGAACTTAGGGGCACTATTTTGAGTTTACCACCTCCCGTTTTCGTACGTTCTCTCTGCATGGCAGAGGCCCTCTTTTTGGTCCCCCTTTTAAGATCATCCCATTTCTTCTTCAATTCGTCAATTGTTCTTCTTGAGAAGGAAACTGCATTCACCGCTTCCATAATCTCTATCCACGATTGCTTCTTTTTCGCATTATTAACGACATCACTAAATTTTGAGTTAATTATTTCTGATCATTCCTTTACCCCTTGCACTAGAATTTCAATTTCTTTTTCCGAAAATCGGGGTTTCTTCTTTTTCTCTTCCATCTTCAGACTTTCTGATTTAGTGACGTGCATTTTCATGAAATGACGTCACAATCGCAGAAGTAAGAATCGGAGATAAGTTACAATATACATGTAAGGTCATGTGGATCTATGCATGTTTATACTATTATGATATTTTGAAATTTAATTGTTTAACTGAGTCAAACTTGTACTAATAAAGAATACAATGACAAATTTTAATGTACCTACTAACGAGCTTCATGAATGCATTGAATAAGAAATATCTTGATTATGATAGTTAAAACTAATCTTTAGAAACCTTTATAATTTTTTTATATTAAAATATTTATATACTTGAAAAAATACTGTCTTATTCCATTTCTTTTCTTAGAAAGTTATTTATACTCATTTAATTTTTGATTCTATTCTGTTCTCACTTCACATTTTTTTTTATTTAGAGAATGCAAGACATTTGATTAAAAAAATAAACAAAACACGCTTATACTATTCAAATTTTAATGTGTTCATAACTCTATATTCTGTTCAGTGCAGGTGCCCGTTCAGCGTGTTTCACTTGCAGAAACTTTCCGTAAATTTCGCAAAGTTTACGGGAGCTTCGTGAATACGCCGTAAACCATCCGTAATCTTTCCGTAAACTTTCCGCAATCCTTCGGTAAACTCGCCGCGACTGCGGAAATTACGGAGGCTTTGTGAATAAGGTCCCTGAACAGCAATATTTAAAAGTTCTTCAATTTGTGTTTGATAAATTTCAAGACAAAAGTTAAACTTTATCTCATTTTTAGCTCACCTGAGCTGAAAGCTCAAGTGAGCTTTTCTGATCACATTTTGTCTGTAGTCCGTCTGTCCGTCCACCCTTCTGTAAACTTTTCACATTTTCGACTTCTTCTCAAGAACCCCTTGGCCAATTTTAACCAAACTTGCCACAAAGTATCCTTGGGTGAAGGGGATTCAAGTTTGTTCAAATGAAGGGCCAAGCCCTCTTCCAAGGGGAGATAATTATGATTTAATGAAAAATTAATGGAATCTTTTAAAAATCTTCTCCAGAACCATTGGGCCAGGAAAGATGAAACTCATGTGGCATTTGTAGGTAGTGTAGATCATGATGTATGCCAGTTTTTAACTTTATAGTCCTAGTGAAACAAAAGATATTAAAAATGTTCGAGTTTTTCTGGGACAACCCTCATATATAGGGAAAATCTTTTAAAATTCTTCTCCAGAACCATTGGGCCAGGAAAGATCAAACTCATGTGGAAGCATCCTCAGGTAGTGTAGATACAAGTTTGTTCAAATCATGACCCCCGGGGGTTAGGGTGTGGCCACAATGAGGAAAGTTTTGCATATATAATAAACGTAGAATATATAGGAAAAAATCTTCTCCAGAACAAAAAAGTTTTGTTTGGTCAAATTCACATGTAAGCATCTGCAAGTAATGAAGATTTAAATTTATTCAAATAATATCTGGGGGTGGGGTTGGAGGGGTGTTAGCCAGGGGTTGCAATGGGAGATCGAGTAAAATGTTGGAAAAGTCTTTTAAAAATCTTCTTTTCAAGTATGGCAAAATTATACAAGTATGCTTTATTGATATAGTGACATTCTCAAGTAATAGAATATTCAAATCCCCCTCCCCCAACAAGTAAGTTTTTCAATACTAAGCTGATTTGTGATTTTTAACTAGCTCATGTTCTCAGGTGAGCGATGTGGCCCATGGGCATCTTGTTTTTCAAATTCTATCGAAAAAGTGAAAAAAGGACATGTGATTATAAATGTTTAAATGAAAATATACCACAGATTTATTCTTATTTCAAGGGTAAAAGTGGATTATTTGCTGTACTTCCTCTGCCAATTCATGCCACCATCAAAGAGAAGAACAGAGCCTTAATTCCTCATACACTAACAAAGAAGCCAGCTCCACAAGCTTTCAATGTAATGTCGAGCTCGCACCCAAAGGAGGCTGTTGGTCCCCCCAAACCAGAAAAACATGACAGTGATAGTGAGGGGGAGGACCAACCTTCAAGTTTTTTTTCTCTGAGTTCCGAGGACAGTAAAAAACCCTTTGTGTCTGGATTTTTAATGAAGAAAATGTCCCTTCCTCCTCCAATTTCAGCTAATGATAATCAGAGTCAAAGCTTTATTTCTAGGACCACATGTCCTGCAGTTAATATGACATTAAACACTGGAGAACCTTCATTGTTCAGCGAGACTGCTGATTTCCAAAATGCTCCCATGATGTTCAAAGAATCTGCCCAAGATGGGTTTCATTCTCCTTTTTCTGGATCAACTTCTATAGACACTCCTACTACAAAACAGTTTGAGGTGAGTTCACTGAAAACTTTGTAACTTTATCAGTCAAATTGGACTATTGCTCTCTGATTAAGCCCATGTTTGCATCATGCATAGAAATATTTTCACTTTTTAAGGTGAAGGAGATTTTATATTAATCAAATGAAGGGCCAAGGGCAATAATAAAGTGGGGTCATTTAAAAACTTCTTTTCAAGAAGCACTAAACAGGTGAAAGAGAGAAGAAAATGCTAAATTATTTGAATCATGGCCTCCAGTGGTAGGATGGGGCCACAATAGAGGATAACAGTTTGACATTGATAAACTAAGAATGTAGGAAAAATTCTTTAAAAATCTTTTTAGCTCACCTGAGCTGAAGGCTCAAGTGAGCTTCTCTGATCACATTTTGTCCGTCCTCCATCTGTCTAGCTGTCCGTCCGTCCATCTGTCTGTCTGTAAATTTTTCACATTTTCGACTTCTCAAGAACCAATGGGCCAATTTTAACCAAACTTAATACAAAGCATCCTTGGGTGAAGGGGGATTGCGACATAGTAAGCTGTTTTATACAAGAAAAATATAACAACATGATAGCGACACAAGAAATACAAAGCAAGTTATAAACGATACATAAATTCGAAAGAGAGCATGAAAATTAATCTGTAATCAGGAAACAATAAGTTTAAAAATATTGAGAAATCAATTAAACACTATGTACACATTCACAATGGTGCCCGAGTCATCAGACTGTTGAACAGTGCTTTCAGAATCTCTCGCAAAAGTCAACTGGTGATGAGCATGGACTGTTGCGCGTGTTTAATGGCTGAGTCTGGGGTTTTGATATATCTCGTATATGAATCGGAGGTCCACCTTCCTAGTGATTTGATAAGGTGGTCTTCGATGGGGGCTTCTGCTGCAGGTGTAGCAGCACCAATTCGGAAAGAATGTCCAGTGATGTAGCTGTCACCGTGGTTTGAACGCTTCAGTAGATCCCTTAACATAGTCAAAAAATTACACCGACTAAGGGCACTTCTATTTTCCATGATGAAGAGGGGGAAGTGCATTTTGGGATCAAAAATGGCATTTCTTGTAGATAAGTAGTTCTTTAGTTGTTGAAATGGACATAATACAGAATTATTTTTAAACAACTTGATCCCTAATCCTTTTCGGAACATGTCATTCTTGGATTGTTTAAAGAAGAGAACGACGTGGTCATCGTAGAATCGTAGGTTGCTTACGCACAGATTAACGTGAGGGTCGAAGGCTGCTTTGCATGTAAATTCCGCACATCTGAGGAAACTGAAAAAAGCCACTATACACACTGTTGTCATTAACGTATCCATGTATTTTGAGTTCACACCTTTTTGAAGCACGCTGCATGTTTTGTAATACATTGTAAGTAATAGGTTGTGGGCTTGGATGGTAGGATTGACTTTGTCTTTTTATACCGCTAAGTAGCATGTGCAATCTAGGTAAATTGCCTGCCAAATCGGTAAAGGGGTTAGGTATACCGAGCAGAATGAGATGGTGTCGAATCCTGCAGAGGTAAAGCTTTATTGTTTGGTAAGACAGGTTCGTGGAATCGTAACAGGTGACAAATTCCATTAAAGTAGATTCTGACATACTTTGACACATGTTGTTCATACAGCTAAATTTTAAGAAGGCTTGATATCCGGAGTTATATGTAGCTTTAGTTGAAATGGATATGGAGTCTTCCATCAATGCTTCTATTCTGTGAGAGGTTTCCAAAGGACGTCCTGCAGGGATGGGCAGGGATGACGGTGTCTGTCTGCTTGAGGAGCTAGGCTTCTGAACTTGTGAAATCGAGATAAAGCATCTGCGATTACATTAGTTTTACCTGGAAGGAATTCAGAATAAATGCAGAAATTGTATTTAGGTGAACACCAGGTTGACTGTCTCATTAGTTTCATAATAGAAAGAACTTTAGATCACCCCTTTTGTATAATATTCACAGTAGCCAAGTTGTCACAATAAAAAAGTATTCTTTTGGTAGACCAACGATGTCCCCAGAGAATGGAAACTTCAATGATAGGGTACAGTTCACGGAGTACCATAGATATGTCCTTGTGTTGTTCACTTGGTAAATCATCTGGCCATTTGTCACTGAACCAGTGACCTTTGAAATATCCCCCGAATCCAAGGGTAGATGATGCATCTGTATACAAATGCATAATATTAGCTGGAGTTCTTGCGATATCATAGAAAAAAGCCATTCCACTGATCTAAGAACAATTTCCACATTCTGATGTCTTCTCTGCACTCTGAGGTCAGATGAATGTAATGGTGAAGCTCACGCACAGAAGATGCTAGGCTTAACAAATAAGAAACGAATGATCTTCCTGGTACGATTACGCGAGAAGCAAAGTTCAGATGTCCCAAAAGTTGCAACAATTCACGTTTTATACAGCTTTTCTTCACGCTAAAAGTTTCTAACATTTCTCGTATTCTAAGAACTTTGTCTGTAGGAAGTCGTGCTTGCATTTTAGAAGAATCGAAAATTATTTCAAGGTATTCCATAACAGTATCTAGGCTCATGGTCTTGTGTAGAGCAATTGGAATATTCAGCTTCTTAAAGATCATTGTCAGGAGGGCCATGGATCGATCCGCATCAAAATCTGGTCTTTCTATGGTTAGGAAGTCATCCAGCAAATGCAGTATAGATTCGATTTTGTAATTGTTTTGTGCTATCCAGCAAATTGCTTGGGAAAACTGATCAAAGATCTTTGGACTAGATCTACATCCAAAGGATAAACGAGTGCAGTGATAGTATAAATTTCTCCACTTCACACAATATAAATGGTACTGAGAAGGTAGTATGGGAATAAGTTTAAAGGCATCTGAAATATCAGTCTTGCACATCAGAGAGCCTTGACCATTTTGCACAATAATTTTGATGGCATCATCAATACTCACATAAGAAAGAGAGCATTGATTTTTATCAATGAGTTCATTTATACTTCGGTGAGTTTCATTGTTGTGAGGTGCAGAAAGATCCACGATTAGCCTTTTCTTTTTAGAATACTTATGTTTGTCAATTCCGAGAGGAGACACTCTGTAGTTTTCAAAAGGAGGTTCCTCATAAGGTCCTGAAAGAAAACCTTTTTCAATTTCCTTTGACAGAAACTCATCAACAATATCCATGTTCTGTAAAGCTGACCTCAAGTTTTTACATTCTCGTGTTTTCAAGTCTGTTTTCTGCACTTTAGTGTCAAACCCATTAGTAAAACCATCTAGAATGTAGGCAACAAAGTTAGGATTTTCATGATTCTCAAGTTCTAGTTTCAACTGTTGAATGTTAATTGTTGAGCATGGAGATCCTGGAACAGATAGTCATTTGGGATTGGTAGTAGAGGAAGATGTATTCTTAGATTTGGTGGATTTTGAATTGCAAGTGAGCGACGAATGATCCTTGTTCTTGCATTGGCTACAAATATGAAGGAAAGGGCAGTTGTTTCTTCCGCATTTCCTAGTAGAATTGAAATTGTTACAGATTTCCTGTCCATCATGTAACAGCCTCTTTCTGCCATGCTTATCTGTATTACTATTTGAGGATTGATGAGAAGTCGCTGATGAATTGTTCTGTGATTGAGGACAAAACCTGGTATCATGAGAAACTTCTGAGCAGATAGAGCAGGATCTGGATTCAGATGCTATGAGCTGAATGAGATCTCTGTCTCTCACAGACCAGTCAACTTTAATCTTGTGAACGGCCAAGGCATTGGCACTTCACAGAGAAAATAGCTTGTGGTACTCATAAAATCTTTCTCCGTAAACATTGTATATGTCGATGATATTGATACTTCATATTGAACAAGTTCTTCTCTGCGATTAGGGAATGCCTGGCACATGCATCGTTTATATTTTCCGAATGCAGTTAAAAACTCAGCAATAGTAAGGCACCTTTTAAGTCGGATACTGTAAATCACTTTTTATTCGCGAGAACTTTATTTCCGCGTAATTACGCGAGACGGTATGCTCGCGAAAATTTAATTCTCGCGTAGAATTCCTTAAGATTATATAGAGCGACGACCACAATTCGTGAAAATTTTGTCTCGCTTATAAAGAGTCAATGACTATCTCGCGAAAATAAAGTGTCGCGAAAATATAGTGATCTACAGTATCTTCCTTCTCTGGTTTCTCTTTTTCTGAGGTAGTAATTTCGTAATAAGGAATAAGCAATGTAGCAAGATTAACATCCTTACTGTCGATGATGTTTTTCCGAATGGAATTGGAAATCAATTCCATTTGGGGCAATTCCTCAGGGTTTATGCCGAATTTCCTCGTGCTCTGGGTGTTTTCATTTGCCGTTTGGTAGAACTGCTGTAAATTAAATGATGGCAAACTGTTAGCATTTGTGTCATTCGTTGTAATAAGGGTAGTTAAACTCCAAACCTCGTCTGGAGGCTTTGAACTGTGTGCACAAGCGACTCGATAACTGCTGGGGAACTTGAGGTAGCTGAGCTTTGGTGGCAGAGGATAGTTTTTTTTGCAATCAAAAAGTTTGACTGACGCCTTACTTAATATTGAGCTGCTTTTAAAATGTGCATTGAAAAATTTTAAATTTCCTCTACATGTAATAATAGTATGATGAAGTCCCTTGAAGAATTTGAAGCTTTTAGGAATAAAACATGTACAACTTACACAATGAGCCCTAAACTGATGGCTCAGGGACAATCTCAAAATTTCATGTAAATCAAGCCTAATTTCACTATTTCTCCGCAGCCGCAACTGCTTCCAGGCCCGTGCTCATGACCTAAGCTACCACACAAATTGCAGAACATTTGTACATACCACTGAACAGGAAGAGATAATGGCTCAACCACCTCGTTTTCAAGCTACAATTCATCCTATGAATCCACCCCGCTTTTCTGGTGAAATACCAGAAGAGTGATTTTTGAGCTTAGTTTTGTATTTCTAGTCCATATCTCATATACAGTAGTAGTGACACTAAAGTGTCATATTTCAATAAAATATACAAGGCCACCAATTCCCTCCAATGCACCCATACAATATTCTAGCTATAAAATTACCTATAATATGCATTCAAACGTCAGGTTTCTCTTTTTTTGGACGGTACTTAATCCCAAACTATCCTCTGCCACCTTTGGTTTCCGCCGGAAGTAGTTGAGCTTGGATAAGTCGTACTTGGAAAGGATGTTGTACTAGCTACGGATACAGCAGACAAACTTTGGAGATTCAAAGATTGTCTGGAAAAACTATTTGTGTGGTTAGAATTCTCCACAGAATTCAAATCGATGGCCCTGCTTTCATTTTGACTGTTTGAAGCGTCAATATTTTTTCTAAACACATTGTCCACGTACAATTTCAGCAACACAGAGATAGGAAAATTGGAAGAAGCGCTTATATTAGCCTCTAACAGTTTTCACGAAGAACAACAGCGGACCAATTTAAATAATTTGTCATGTCAAGAGAATCACAGAAGGTTCTTTGTCTTTCAGCACTTCTCCTGGTCGCCATTGTTGTTTTGAGATACATTGATTTTATTATCACAATTTCACTAATTAATGAAGTGTTTTTCCCAGAATAACATGGTCAAAAACACAATTTAAGTACACTGAAAATAAATACACAAACAAACAAATCGGATGATCGATGATTATGATGTAATCCTATGGATTAATGAAGACAATAATAGCTTGGTACTGACGCTGTCTGGGACCATGGAAAGATAAGAAGGCATGTGACTAGCTATTCTTGACCTATTGACCAATGACTGATGGACATGAAAATCAGCGTGCCCGTTGCATAATATTGGTAAATGTAAACAAAAGCAGAGGGGGGAAGGGCTTAGTTATGCAAATTGTATGAATTAAACTTTGATTAAAATTTTAATAAAATAATTTAAGCTACAACTTATGCGGAAGCATCCTTGGGTAGTGTAAATTTAAAATTGTAAAAGTCATGACCCCCAGGGGTAGGGCGGGCCTAAATAGGGAGTCCAAGTTTTACATAGATATATTTTTTTTAAAAAATCTTTAAAAATCTTCTTCTCAAGAACCACTGGGCCAGGAAAGTTGAAACTTATGTGGAAGCATCCTTGGTTAGTATAGATTTTAAATTGTTAAAATCATGACCCTCAGGGGTAGGGCGGGGCCGCAATAGGGAATCAAAGTTTTACATAGAAATATTTTGGAAAATTTATTAAGAATCTTCTTCTCAAAAACCACTGGGCCAGGAAAGCTGAAACTTATGTGGAAGCATCCTTAGGTAGTGTAGATTCTAAAGTATTAAAACCATGACAGGGGAGGGGAGTAGGGGGCCACAATAGGTATAACAAGAGGGGGAATCT